AATCCAGAAAATAATGGAAAACAGAATTTGGTAAAGATAAAACTGTAAAACTCAATTAATTAGACAGGCTTTTTGATTAATAAAATTTAATTTAACCATTAAAACAGAGTATAGAAAAATGAAAATGGAAAAAAATGAATTTGGAAATAAAACGGATTTCTTAGGGCCCTATAATTATATATATATATTTTTTTTTTTTCTGGTAATAAAACAGATGTAAGTGAACAATAGCCTTTCAAATTACTTAAAATACATATATAATAACAATGAGGCAATAATAATTAGTTCAAATAAAGTATCAAAAGCAAGAAATCATATGGTTTTATTGAACAAAACTGTTAAAATACATAATGTATTATAAACAATATAGCTAATGTACATTACGCATTACAACAAAGGCCTGCAGAGGGCACATGATGATTATTTTTTACACATTGCTGTGTGATCTAATACTTGTTTAATATTGACCAAGCACCATTTAATTCAAACGTCCACTTAATCTTTAATATTTGGCCATTTCTTTAGGACAGAAATGCTATAGCCACTGTAATTAAAAGAATATGTGGACATCAAAACGTGTAATCTCAGAGTGAGGGTTTGAGCTTTTATTTTGAAGCTGCGATTGTATTCTTCTGTGTTTGCGTGGATTTATAAATGATTTACCTTACAAATCTGCTGAAATGGCGCATGTTGCATTCAGATGAACGTTATAATAAACCCAAACTCACAACAACATGCAGAGATGGAGTTTGAGACGCTCCACACATTTAAATAAGAGTTCCTGTGGAACTACTGTGAACGGAGCCGCTGTGTGACGCAGGTACTTAACCTACACGCATGTAAATAATTAAAGCGCATATACTGTATTAGAACTGTATAAATTAAATTAATTAAATTAAATTAAAGCGCATATACTGTATTAGAACTGTATAAATTAAATTAATTAAATTAAATTAAAGCGCATATACTGTATTAGAACTGTATAAATTAAATTAAATGTAAATAATTAAAGCGCATATACTGTATTAGAACTGTATAAATTAAATTAATTAAATTAAATTAAAGCGCATATACTGTATTAGAACTGTATATAATTACTTAATTAAATCGTAGCATTTGTGAATTCACAATTATGCTTAATTATGATTTTTAAATGGGTTTAATATATCATGCAGCCTTGGGAAACAGTCTAATAATGTGTTTTATGGATTCTCGTCCGTGAAATGCGCCACTTCCGGTATTTTGTCGGATAGTCGACGCGAGCAAAATGAAGTCGAGGATTTTTAAAAATCAAATAGTCAAATAAAATCGACGAATCGCGACAGCCCTATTTGATATCATAATTTAATCACATTAGAATCGAAACTGGGAATCAAAAAGAATCGGAATCAATAAGCAGAATCGGAATTGATAAAATTCAAACGATACCCAACCCTATAATGTACATAAGTTACGATTATTGTTTTATTACATTATGTATTTTAATTGTTTTGTTTAGTAAAGCCATATGATTACTCGCTTTTCATATTTCATTTGAACCAATTATTATTGCCTCATTGCTATTAATTATATATTTTAAGTCATTTTAAAGTCTATTGTTTGCTTAGGTTTATTTTTATTACCACAAAAAATTATCCGATTACTCGATGAATTGTCCGAATAATCAACCGACTACTCTATTACCAAAATAATCGTTAATGACAGCCCTAAAATGGAGCTTATGGCTGTTTATGTTTTACTGTGGATATGTGCATGCATACACAGGAAGTGAGTATTGCTATTACCCCTGGCTGCCTCCCCTTTACATAAACTAACCATCGGTGTGTCCTTGGAAACAGCTGGTTCTCTCATACCTGTGTGTACAGCATCCGCCTCTTTTCATGGCCAAAGCCTGTGTAAACTCTCCCTGAAATTGTCTCCACTGCCTCAGCTTCAGCTGTATCTACATGACCTCGGCCCACATGTTTCTTCCTGTGTGCTCGAGTGCTTGCTGTTTCAATTAACTAGACTATAATTCCAAAGGCATCTCCTTTTTTTCGTCTCCTGTTTGCAAAGCCACGTCGGCAAGTAAAGCCAACCAATGTAATCTACTTGATTGTAGCCCAAAACAAATAGCTCTATTACAAACTATTGATTTTAGACCGGTTTCCAAGTCAGTCATGGATTCCAACAGCCATAGCATACATCTTAAATGCCTTTTGAAATAAAAGCGCAACTCAGATCAATACACCCAAGGCTCATTGGAAAAACATACCGTTTTTGTGAAACTAAAAAAAAACTTGCTTGTAAATACAATATACTGCTGTTTCTAGATGAAATGAACACTAGTGACTGTAAAACACCAACAACTTTTATTCCTTTCTTAAAAAAAAATTATTACAGAGGCACATTATCTATTAATAAAGACTTATTTTGGGTGGTTCATTGCACAATACTATTTTATGACCTCAAACCACTTTTAACAGAGCAAGATTTGTAAAAGAATACATTACATTCAACACATTTAGTGTAGGTGGTAAAGTATGTTATTTTAAATCACGATTAACGTTTTAGCACCACTCACCAGTAATTTCATTTCTAAACTGACACAACACACACAACAACCAATGTAATAAAACATTGTCAGATTCACTTTCATCTGTTTCGTCTTCATCTAAAAGCTTTTAGTGCTACTAGACATTTCACTTTGAAAGAGTCGCAAAACAAGCTAGAACCAATGTAATATGATTTTGCAGAAATGTCACCACAAGCTCATTTTTCCATTGAACCTGTATTGAATAACACACAAACTCGGTAAACAAACAATAACATTATGGGCATACAAATCAGCCACGTTTGGTTTTAGCTTCAACAAAAGGGCTGAAAGCAGACTGTCACGTGTTTACGAACACCAGCAACTGCGACTCCAACGTGGCCCCTCTGACCTGTGACAGCACATGCTGAGTGAGCTGGGATTCCTGTGAAACACCCCACAAATGTTGCCTCTTTGTCCAATTAACTGGGCCTCAAAGCCCCACAGCTCATCATCACACTCAGTTCTCCAATCCAAACAAAATTCACAGCACGCACGGAAGCCGAGCCGTCAGTCACAGGACTGTAAACAAACCACCGTTCAACAATGCTGGAGATATGAGCTGTTGAAGCAGCGTTTGGTGCGCTACACTTAACTGTGCGCTACACACATAGCGCACAGTTAATACACACACAATAATACATAGCATGAATCGTGAGATAAGGGGTGGGGTTGAGTTAGAGGTGAAATACATTATTGCTTGAGGTAATTTTTATGGAAGATAAGGGCAAAGCTGAGAGAGTGGGCAAATTTGAGAGAGAGGAAGCAAAGGGGAAAAGGACTGTTATTGTTGAGTAACTTCATTTGCTCCAAGGCAACTCGTGATGTCATAATGGAGGGAGGGAAACTGCCATTCTCTTTCAATCACTCCAGCGCCGTCTCACCATCTATGAGCCCCCCTCATCCCCCCAACTATGCCCTAGGGTTTGCTGTGGGAGGCTGCTATTGGTTGTCGGTTTGATAGTGTAGCTGAGAATAACCACCAACCAGGGGCAGGGTGCCCCTCCACATGGTTTCCACAGCAACCCCTTAAATGCAATGCAGGGACCATGTGGCTACACCAGTTTGGGTGTAAGCAGGGAAAAGTAGCACAAATACAACCTTTTTAAAAGCTCATTAAACCACAAATGAGTCTATCTCTCAAGGGTTTCACTTCCACATTTTTAATCTAACATAATCTAAAGGTGACGGTACCTGGTCAATTCATATTCACATTCGTTTTACATTTTAATTTCTTGATGCCACTAATGTCACTGATAATTGAGGGCAATGCCATGGGGCATCACTGAACAACCATCTTGACAATGTGAGGCCAGTGGATCTCATTACGCAACAGGTCCCTACTTCAGACAGCCCCAGGAGCATAGCCAGCATCATTAAAACAGAAATCCACTGCTTCTAACCACTCATGTCAAACTGCTATTAGGTCAGAGGCAGAAAGCTCTGCTTTAGTTCTTAATGAAGTGCCATTACCAAACAGAATCTATTGGAGATCGTATATCTGAAACAAATCCAAGCCAGTATGCAAGCTTTTCCCACAATTAAAAGATGACTCTGAGAGGTCACAGAGTTTACAACGCATTGCATATGGGAAAAAGACTCTTACCTTGGCAGGTGAAGCATTTGATGTGGAAGTGCGCATGCTGCACTCGTACCACCTCTCCTCTGCACACCTCCCGGCAGCGAAAGCAGTGGATTGGTCCGGAGCTCCGTTCACTGCTGCATGAGCTTTGCTGATAGGGTACTACTAGGAAAAAGACAAAAAGGCACTAAGTAACGAACATTAGAAAACAGGGGATGTACAATATATCGAGGAGTTTTTAAAATCATTTTTTTATTTATTATTTTTGGTTGACACTGAATCAATGTTAACTAAAAATTAAAAAAAATAGAAAAAAAAAATGTTGAAGTACCAAAATTATTAAAACTAAATCTGAAATAAAAGTAATTTAAAGCTAAATAATTAAAATGATAAAAGCACTAAATAATTAAATTAATTGATAAAAACTTTAACAAAAATTACAATGAAAACTAAAACATTTAAAAATAAGATTTTATTCAAATGATTAATTATTACTATAAAATTATAATACAACCACTAATAATTTAATCCATAATTTTTATCTAATAACACTATTAAAATGTAATTTAAAAAAATCTCAAAATGAATATCCATTTTTCATACTTTAATATAATGCTGTAATGCCTAAATTGACTCGTAGCATGTAAACCAATTGGTTTTAGAATTAGATTTGGGGAGGAGGGGGGGGGGCACATTTACATGACCTATTTTTTAAATGGTCTTGTCTCGAAAATAAATCATTTTCCTAACAAAGTAGTAATCTTTAAATATCAGCCATAACACAAAAATAAGTATTAATAATTAAATAATTATAGCATTATCTGAATCAGCCAGAGTTTCAATATTGGTCATGCGTTTGAGTACAGTATGTTCAGACAAAAGTGTAAGTAACGAACATTAGAAAACAGGGGATGTACAATATATCGAGGCATTATTGGTTATTGGCCAATATTAGAGTTTTTAAAATCATTTTTTTATTTATTATTTTTGGTTGACACTGAATCAATGTTAACTAAAAATAAAAAAAAATAGAAAAAAACAATGTTGAAGTACCAAAATTATTAAAACTAAATCTGAAATAAAAGTAATTTAAAGCTAAATAATTAAAATGATAAAAGCACTAAATAATTAAATTAATTGATAAAAACTTTAACAAAAATTACAATGAAAACTAAAACATTTAAAAATAAGATTTTATTCAAATGATTAATTATTACTATAAAATTATAATACAACCACTAATAATTTAATCCATAATTTTTATCTAATAACACTATTAAAATGTAATTTAAAAAAATCTCAAAATGAATATCCATTTTTCATACTTTAATATAATGCTGTAATGCCTAAATTGACTCGTAGCATGTAAACCAATTGGTTTTAGAATTAGATTTGGGGAGGAGGGGGGGGGGCACATTTACATGACCTATTTTTTAAATGGTCTTGTCTCGAAAATAAATCATTTTCCTAACAAAGTAGTAATCTTTAAATATCAGCCATAACACAAAAATAAGTATTAATAATTAAATAATTATAGCATTATCTGAATCAGCCAGAGTTTCAATATTGGTCATGCGTTTGAGTACAGTATGTTCAGACAAAAGTGATGTATTTTGCATTGTGAAACCAAAAATGTCCTTTACACTGTATTTGTTGTACCTGTACTACAGCTGTGAGTTCTGTGTTTGTCATTATAATGGGCCTGAGGGTTACCTAAATAATTTCCTTTGCTCTCTCTCTTTCTGTGTATTGATGGCTGTACGGTTTTGTGCTGATTGCCCTCATATTAAAGATGCATAACAGGCATTCAAACACTCAGTCAGTGAATAAATCAATTACTGTGCAATCACTGTAGCAAGTGTTGTTCTCGCTTTAGTCTAAACGGATTTAACTGGGCGAAAATGTTGAAAACAGCAAGGGCACATGCCCTACCCTGATCTCCATTGTTTCAGCTACAATGCTGGCAGCAGAGCAGAACTGCCGGGCCTGCGATCAGATTCATCAGCACCATGTTCCCACAGCTCCCCGAGAAACAGGGCCAGGCGACAGCCATGAACACGTATTAAAAAGGGGTCTGGCCTGGTAGAGCATACTGGGAACTCAGTTTTAATGTGCATGTTTAATGAGGGTTTTGTGTGCATGTTGGAAAAGACAAACGTAATCAGCGAGCACAATGTGTCAAGTCAGGAAGTGATACTGATCAGATAAACTTGTGAGGGAAATTCCCTAATTTTTCAACAATAAATCACAATTATCAATGTGAATATTTACATTTTGTAGCAGATAACAAATAAATGGCCGATACTGAAATTTGAAACTATCTGAAACAATTTTTAAAATAAATTAAAAATAAAACTCTAACAACCAAAATCAATCATTTTAAACGCAAGTGAAATTATAACAGTGAACAGAATATGAAAAATTCATTTTGAGATATGCTAAGTGTTAAAATAATAAATAATATTGTCAAAATATCATTGAAATATCTATGCAATAAACACTTATATTGATATACCGGTCAAGAGGGCTGAAAATAGACTTTTTTTACTGCAACAAACAGTCTTATAATAAAAGGTACTGAATTTCGATATTTATTTTGTCAAAATAAATGAAAAACAAAACAATAATAACTAAAATCCATAATTTTAGATGCTGCAACTGAAATTAGGCATCAAAACATTATAATGAATAGAATACAAAAAAGATTATATTCATTTTGAGATTTGCTAAAGACTATAACAGTGTTATTCAACTACAAAAATAAATTAATAACGTTGTAAAAATAAATAAATAAATCTAAATATCTGTGCAATAAATACAAAGCATATTGGTAAGTATCTGAGAGCTGAAAATAGCATTTTTCTATTCAACAAACAATGACTTATACTAGAAAATCACTTTGCATATTGTCATTCTATTGGAATAGAGAGTTTCATTGACTTTTCTTCATCCACAGCTGAAGAACAATGATCCATTAATGCTGTTATGCCTCCTCCAGTGGCTCAATCTCACACTGGTAATATTGTAAGCACTTATTCCTTTGGCAGCGCGACGCACTGCCTGGCCAACTTCCAGAGTGGTTTTCTGAATTCTGTGTGTGGCCCTCAGCTCTGCGAGACGCTCTGAGCCCAGTCTTTTGTCAGTGTAGAGGACAGTACAGTCACAATGCTGTTAAAAGCAGATAACAGCCACACAAGAGAAAATATGAGATGTTTTGTAATATCACAAAACCAGGAGCATTTTTGGTCATGTGTGAGAGCTATTTCCCCCAAAGCTTTGCTTTTCTTTGTACCTCAAAGACTGCAAGCACCCCGTAAACTGTCACGTACAATAACGCACAAATAAACAGAGGTGACAGCTCAAAAGAGAATAAATTACATGCCTTTAAAAGACAATATGTCTTTCAGGCCTCATTCATCTGTCATTTATGGGTATCGCTGTGCTAAAGGATGGTGGGTGTAAACAGGCTGTGTAATCCCTGCTACAGTATATCACGTGCACAGATATCAGGGGAGGACATGCACACATGATTAAAGTTTTTAATGGCACCTACATTAGATAGCATTCATGTTTCAGTGGAAAGTATTACTATAATGGATGCTAAAATCTAGATTCAAATGAAAAAACGTCTATTATTAATACAGACTTGACAGTCTTCACAGCTCAAATAAAAACACGATCCCCAAGTCCCAAAATAGGTCACAATGGCTTAAACATGTGTTGCCACAAATTCCTCTCGGTTTTTGCACAGTTATAAAAATGAATGAAATAAAATGCTTGATTTACAAAAAAGGAGATTCAGAGAAACCTAGTTCTTCTGAGAAACTTCAGAGTAATAATGTTGAGCAATATTGTATATAGCAAAGGGCCAGTAACATCCGGCCGAGGTGTAAGGTGATAACCACAGGACCTAAGGGGCCGCTGCTATTTATGCCCTCAACGGAGGAGCCTCCTGTGGATTATAGTCACACAGGATTGTGGGAGAGTGGAGGTGACAAGGCTGCTTTCAATTCCTCCATAGCCAGACAGAGGAGAGGTGTAAACAAGATCTTGTGGTCAGACAGAGTCCACTTATCCTTTACAGTAATGTGCACTGGGTGAAGACCTTTAAATCCAGTGCTAGAATTAATGGCTAAGTAACACTCTCATTTCCAGAGTCAGAACACTTACTTGCGACAATACTGACTAGTACAGAAAAATGTGATTTTGGTGGTTGGTAACAGCATGGTTTACTGAAAATAACAAAAGTGTAAATGTTTAAATAATGTGTGTCATTACTCGCTCTATCCGATCAGATTTAGCATATCTAAAACAATATAAACTGCATTTAGTTTGATATTGTTGAAACATTTGGTTGAAATATGTTATCAAGATCTTTTATCAGTTGAAAACAGATGTGCTGTTTAATATTTTTGTTAAAAAAAAATGTTCAGGATTTTTTGATTAACAGAACATTCAATGGACTAGCTTTAATATGAAATGTAATTTCTCATTAAAATAATTTGTTTTTTTTGTTTATCAATTCATCATTCTCTTTTATAGATTTAAAAAGACAATCAAAATCTTTCCACATAACCCCTGAAACCTGCTTAAGAAAAGTGGGGGTGTTCAAAGACCTGTTTGCAGTACGTGGGCCTCCGGAGAACCTGACCAAATATGATATATGACTCTTACATTCAAGCCAACATTGCTGTAGCGACAGGAGCTGAACTGACCCTGTCAGTCAAATGATCACTCCGGCCTTCGATCTGCTCTCAGGGTTACTAATGATTTGGGATTTCAACGAAGTTTAGAGAGATGTGTTGGGTCAGGGACATCTGATGAACATCCCTAGTGTCACTCTATGAGTTATCTACCTTCATGTCTTCTACAGGAGATGATTCCTTGGATTCTTTAATGGAGAGCAGCTTTAGGAAGCTAGATTGCAAACATTTACAATGACAATCAGCTGGATTGTAGCATTGCTCATTGAGCAGAAAGACAGTACTCGGACACTGTAATAAAGATATAAGCTTGGCCCACTAACAGAACCTGCCAAATCCCTCTGATAGGAAACTGGAGACTATAGAGAAGACAAATAACACAGAGGCGCACAAATGCATCCTTAATGGTTTAGAAAATAGAAATGCTGAGTAATGATCAAGAGATCGGGCTGAAGAAGT